ATCATCAGGGAGTGGTTTGAGGAAATTTCCAGTGACAAGTCATGTCTTGGCCTCCAAATTCACCTGACATTAATCCAATAGGGTATTTGTGATCCCACCTGGAAAACCAAATTCTTGCTGCCCCACTGCCCCTTCGCAATGTGTTGGAATTGTGAGACCATTTGGTGAGCGCTTGGTACCAGATACCTCAGACTGTGTGTCAGCACCTCGTGGAGTCAATACTATGCTGGTTTACTAATACAGCCAGGTTTGAGGGCTAGAGGTGGTCCTGCATATTATTAACAGGGTGGTCATAATGTTCAGTGTGTATTTCTTCTGGATGTTCATATTACTAAAAAAAAAAAGTAATACTTGTTTCTATACATTCTAAAGACGTTTAGTTTTTTCTTTTTTTTTTTTTTTTTTTTTAATCTTTAATTAAATCTAAAAATTCTAAACCGAGAGAGAAATGTGTTGGGGAAAGAAACTGAATACATAAAGGGAAAAAAATATTCTACAAAGATTGTACAGTTGTTAATATGTAAATTACCCAGTTTATAATTGTAGCCTTTACTATAATATCTCATTTCTATTTTCTTCTCAGAATGGAAATCACTTGGACAGTTTTTAAACTAAAGTTTTTGGAGTGTAAGACAGAGTGTGTTTCTGACCTCTGCTTGCTTGCTGCATTAGTTCCTCTCAGCTCTAATAATTTGTAAATATTCATCTTTGCATTATTGCTGCCAACATTTGAATTTTTTGCAAAGATAGAGTTACTGAGGCAGCTTAAATTAAAATTAAATTGTATAATGTGACCACTAGTCCACACTTCTATTTTGAATTTGACACTTCTTGCTTAATTACATCACCATGAGCTGTAATTGATTTTTTTAGCATAAGAACATGCCTTTATGTTTTAAGTCCTTTTTTAAATAAGAGGCTTATTTAAACCTTTGTCTGACTTTGTAGTTACCATGAGACATGGCGATAATTAGCTTCACGTCGTCTGTCAGGGGGTTTTGGACTATTACCCTTTTATCAGATCAAGTAAACCCTCATAGGTACATGGGGAGAGGTTCATAAGTTATGAGATAAAGCATGCAGAAACTAGAGAACATTGGTTTGCATATTGAAACAAATTCATAATTGTTAGAAAAGATGCTTAAAGAGAAGGAAATCGCTATAAATTAGCCAAAATATCTGTGAAGGCTTCAAATTAAAAAGACTCATAAATATTTTCTTGAGTGTTGTTGCTACAAAATATTAATGTTTTGTAGCTTTTAATGTGTAATTACCCTAATATCATTTAAGAATCAATGTCATAAATTACATGTATTTTAAACTGTAAAATTTTATTAAATTGGGATTTCAATAGGACCTTTTTTAACAAATGTTTAACAAAAAATGAATAAAATTTAATGGTGGCCATGTAAATCCATAATGACTAAAGTTATCGAACTACCTAATTTAATTATTTATAACTAACTGCTTACCCTTTAAAATTATCTCTGCATATTAAAGTGAATTATTGCCTTTCATTAATCCTTACTGTGGTCACAAGATAAAACATAAAAATGTAAAAATTTATGTAAAATATATTCTTTACATCTAGTGAAACAAATAATACGAAACAACTCATCACCTCTTGTGCTTTAGTGGGTGATTAGAACCTTAAAGTACATTAACTGGGTTACAACCATGGAATCTACACGAAGCTACAGCACTAACTGCATCAGACAGAGCCCAACTAACTTTCAAAATTTGCCAACCATGCCTACATCATGCCTTTCAGGTTTGTTCTGATCAGCAGGTCTCTCTCTAGGCAAGCAGGAGCAGTGACAGCAGCCGGTGTTTTGCTATGAAACATGCTGGTTAAGATTTTACTTCTCATTTTAACCTATGTCGCTTGACATAAAATCTACCTACTATTTACTAAACCTCTAGACTGAGCAAATATGTGACAAAATGAGAATTTAAAAAAGTATAAAAAAAATCATAATGTATGTAAATAAAATGCCACTTATCTTCTTTCAAATATGTCCAACTATTACAAGTGTAAAATATTTAATGCTATTTGATAAATTATAAAAAAAGTTTATCATTCTTCATAAAGTTTATTATTCTCAAACTTATTAATAATTGTGTTTAATTAAGTTGTGTTTAATAATACTGCATCCAACTTATGGATCTCTTTATTTTTATATTTTAGGATGGTATTACTAAAGTGAAATTCAGGATAGATAATATTTTTGATTGAATTTATTCAGTTCCCATTTCCTCGCATAGGTCCTTAATTTTTTTCATTAATGGTCATTAAAAGTAATTTTCGTGTGCAGAAATGTGTACGAACCCTGTTTGAGTAATCATCATTTTTGTGTTTTTTCCTTTATGATAACCAGTGTATTATCACACAAACTCTAATTTTGACTGAATGAGACTCCAAGTAAGTGAACTTGTCTAACTAATTAAATGCTGTAAAATCACCATTCCAGTATAGCTTGGAATAGATATATGATATTATGTTGATTAATTTTCAAGGTTTTTAGCATTTCTTATTACTTAGAAAATGAAAAGTTTTTTCATTATCAGTTGTATCACACACACTTTCACACTTTTTACAAAAAATTCTTAGTCTTTGTTTTATTTGAATTTCACATTGTTTGTTTAAAACTGATTGCTTTCATATCATCAATCTTGATAATGCATACTGAATCAGTAAACCGTCAGTTTTTTTTTAAATATTTTTCTGCGTACATTTCAAGTGAAAATATTTATCTTGGATGCTTTTTTCAGTCAACTATGATTTTATCTATTATTTATAGCTCTTTTGTGTAGTATTTAATTGATGTTAACTCAATATTAACGTAATAGTTGCCATAAAGCGAAAATAAATGATTGGGTGGCAGTTGAATATGTTATGCAGTTTCATTTGAATTAATTTCCAGCATACATTCTGATAATCTGTGTATATTTATTAATATTACACTTCCTTAATGTAATGTCTATCTTTATATATAACTCTTTGATAAAAAATTATTTCATTCTTGATTATTTACATCATAACCTTTCAAAAATTGGACACCTTCAATTTTATTATTAAATAAATCCTTGAAGCTCGTAGTTATTAGTGCAAATGTGTATTACCTGTATCTGGTTATGCACTTGTAAGTGCAAATGTGTAACCTGTGCAAATCTCAATTACCTGTACACTGCAAATTCTACAAAGAATTTGAGCGAATTGTCTATTACAAAGCTTAGGAAATATATGCAAAAAGGTATAGAAAAAAGAAAAGCAATGACAATTGAAAATTTGTACAGCTTACACAGAGTAGAGGCTCCTGCTGCTACCAGTGGAGGAGGAGTTTATTGGAACAAAAATAATTCTCACATGGCCAGATGAGGCTTGAGTGTATGTAAATGGTGCATTGCAGTTGATTTTTGGCCCCAGTAGATGAATAGTTTCATCTTGCAGGATTTAAGGAAATTTTCTAACTAAACACAGAACATGTGTATGAGTTGTGAAAGGAAATTGGTGATAAAAATGTTGGCAAGTTATTTGTTGACAGAAGGTAAACCTTACAACCAATTTTAAGTTTGGGTATATAAGTTCTCTTCTGTCATATCTGTAAGCAGTAATTTTCAAGATTTATGCTTATATTCAGGAATAACTGCTTGTTTGAGAGTTTGAAGAAGGGTATAATATTTTGATAGCCTTTATTTTGTAGTGAACATAATAGTTGCCCGCAATAAAAGGAGCATTTCTTTTCTAATGTTAAAATCTGATTTAAAAAAAAATTCAAAATCTAGTTGAATATATATCTTCAAAATATATTGGTTACAAATTATTTATGACATCTGTATATTTGAATTGAGGCCTGGTGGCACAGTGGCTGGTGTGTCGTGCAGCGGCACCACAGGTCCAGGACTCTATTCCCAGGCTGGGCAAGGTTGACTCAGCCTTTCATCCCTTGAGTGGGTCGATAAAACGAGTACCAAGTTTGCTTAGAGACTAAACACTGGGGATCCTGTGACAAGCTGACCACTTGTTTGGAAAATATACTCACACACCCTCGAGCCCACAGTCAGGAAAGCAGATATCGGGACATTGCTGGCCATGGCCCACTAGGGCTGTTGCGCCATGGAGTTTAGTTTTAATTTAGTGTATTTGAATTAGCTTTATAATTAATTGGGATGGATTTCATATTTTTGAACTGCATTTCCATTTCCTTTTCTAAATGACTAAGAGTTCCAATCCTTTTTTAATTCTGTTCGTTTTAGTACTGAGCAAAATTCAGCTGTTGTTTAAATGGAGTTCTAATTAGTGCATGTTTTTTATTTAAATGCCATGGTTTTTATCTCTTCCTTTTGTGTTTCTATTGATTTTTCTTTAAATGATTATAGCAGAAATTAATGTATTCACACTTTTTAAAATTCAACCATTCTCGTTATTTTAATATTTTAAAATTTTAGTTTTATGTACTGAATTTTAGAACATTTAGAAACAGATGAAAACAGCTTTGGGAATTTGGAAAACCTGCTTGTCACAATCAAGTAAATTTTAGGCAAATGTATTTTTGGATTCTAAGGCGTTTTGATGGATAAATTCAAAACAAGAAATATTGCTGCAAATATAATGCTTATCAGGCTTCGTAAAAGGCACGATGTTAGATGAGAAGAATGATAGATAATTAAATAAAAGTGTTTGCGCACCTTTGGCACAGTAATGCAACTTCATTTGGTATGAACTTCTAGTCTTTTCTTCAGATATAAGTAACAAATAATTTGGATTTTAAAATTTTGTAGTGGAATGGTGTTTTTTTAATTGTATTTATATAATTCCAGTGTATTTAACAGATTTACAAATATATAGCTTATTTCTTTAAGAGACATTAACATGTTTGAATTTAAAGAAAAATGTTGATGATATGTTTGTTTTGTATGATACATTTGTTTAATATGTTTATAAAATATTTGTCTTGTAAACTATTGTACATCTATTTTAAAGAATTTTAATTTATTAGGGATACGATGCTGGTCATTATAATGTTGGAATTGCCCATAGTGATAATCATATCCCAGTAGAAGAAAACTCTACTAATTCATTGGATCAAGATGCACTTGATTCAGGAGACAGACAAATGCATTTAAATGACTCTTGGCAACAGGGTAGTAGTAATGAACAACAATCTGGAAGCCTTTTGGTTAGTATACCTCTACCAATTGTTAATGCAACTGGAAATTCAGAACCTCCTCTAAAGGTTCCAAAAATCAATAACTTGCATTCTGCATCAGAAAATACATGGGACAATTGTCCATCCTCTCCCAGTAGTCCTGAATGGCACATTCCAACTTCAAATTCATCTTCACCTTCTGAGTGTGCTGGTGAAAATGAGGGACCAGATGTGAATAATGTTATTTCTCAAGATAATGTGCAGTCTAGTTCTGAATCATCTAACTGTAGTCTTTCACGAACTAGTTTTACAGCTGAAGAGAAAGAACCTGAAGTTCAGAAATCTTTGAAAATTGAATCTAATGAGAAAGCTATCTCTATAAAGCCAGCTGAAGACAGTGAATCTTTTCTAAGTAGCGGCAAAGATGAATGCTCTATAGATGCAACTGATGGCATTTCAATTAATCGACTGCAAAAAAATTCAAATGAAAATATTGTAGATGAATCCATTAATGCAGCTGCTGGTGGTGATGTTTTTGATGGATCGGTGACTGCTGCAAATGGTGAGTCAATATCTGAAGTAGACCCAATACCTGATACACCTGCTCTTTCTGATGACTTTTGGAAGAAACAGAATCCTTTAGTTGACCATGTGTTGATTACAGATGTGACTACTAATCTCCTTACTGTCACTGTTCGTGAATGTGATACAAGTTGTGGCTTTTTCAAGGATAGACCTAACCCAGACATAACTAGTAACTCTCCTAAATCTAATGAAGGCCACACATTATAAGTCACTTTATTTAGTTCAGCATTTATTATAATTAATTATCTATAGACAATCAAAGTGGCATTTAAACTTTGTAATATAAATGGTATTTTATATATGATTTTGGGATGTTGAAATGCATTTGAGTCATGCCATAATCAAGTTATTATGTGTACAAAATGTAATTTTTTTTAACCTTTCGCAGATTTTATTCAAAAATAGTTTTGTTGAATCATTTTATAAAATTATTTTATTGTTTTTTTAAATTAGAATATTGGCTGTTTAATATTAATTTATATTAAAGTTTTTTGTTATAAAGTCTACTTTGAATTAGAACAACATTTGCCATTAAAAAAAGAAAAAAACTCAGTAAAGCTCAAGAAGCATTTTGTATGAAAATATGCTTATACTTTGCTGAGAGTTTTTAATTGTGTTTTGAAGAAAATAATTCTTGAATAATAAAATAATCATATTTAGAATTGTATGTAAGATTGTCTTACATTGCTCATTAAGTCTGTGTTTGAAACATTTATGCAAATGAAATAGCTGATAGCTTTCTAAATATACCATGATGGCATTTGATATTATAGGGTTTATTTGAAAATCTGGTATCCCTAATGTATTTTGGGCAGTATTTCCTGACACTAAAGTGTTAATGTTTCATTGCTTGTCAAAATTATAGGGTAATATAAAAAAATTCTAACTGATTTAAGTTTTCATTAATGGCAATTGATGTAATTGTTTGTTAATTTTCTGCTACTAATTGCAAAATTAGATTTCTGAACATTGATTAATGCATGAAATATGCAAATTAGCAATTAACAATGTGTTGCAGAGTTGGTGCATATTGGAATTCAGGTGTGTAGTGTTGTTAAGTAAATGTTTTTGACAGCATTATGTCTCAGAAACATCATTTTAATGAAGGGCAAAAGAGACAGTTATAAAGTGTTAGCAGGTGACCTAACTTTACTCGTTAAGATTGGCACACATTATTATTAAATTAGGTTTATTAATGAACTAATTATTTTTATGTTTACTCCAGTTATATGCTGGGAATCAGTACACATTTATCATATTCATTTGTGTTCTTCTGTCTCTCTCGCCCTTCTTAATTTTGCACCCTCCGATGACAGCTTTCTTACAATGTCATCTGTTGGCACATTTTTGGCTATTCTGATGTGGCAATCATCCTGATTTTCCAAAGGAGGTACAAATTTATTCTCCAATTACTACGAATTTCTACATTAAATTCGTAATACACATTATCTAACATATATATTAATTACATTTACATTAATTTTGCAATGCACAATACACATTACTGATACATTAAAAATACAAATTATGCTAAAAATTGGCATGATAATGAATATATTTAAATTCACATGTATTGCTTTATTGTACTTGGATAATAATGGAAATTCTCTCTAAATTATTACTAAATAGATAATAAATTTGAAAATAATACTGATTCATGATCAGTCCTAAAATAATCACAAGTTAATATAAAGAAGGGCAATTTTTCAGTTTCAAATGTTCAGTAAGTTTGTCAAAGTTGCTTGAGGCCTTGTCATTAATACATGCATATAGATGTATAAAATCAAAGTTCTTACCTTATCATAGCAAAATTTACCATCATTAATCCTTAGAAACAGATCTTCATGGATTTCATTGAGGAGTTGAGCTTAATAGCTGATCAGTGTCTTGGTTATCATCATCATCAAAACTGGGCTCACGCTTCCATGGTTTTAGTTGACTTACATGAGCTGTGGTAGTGAAATAGTACCCTCCATCTTTTGCTTATAGTTATGTTATTCTGTAAGCATTACCAGGCAATATTTCTGTTGTTACAAATAGTCCTCAGTGTTTTGCTTTGTTGATCTGTGGCTTCAGGAACACATCTCATCACATTTTTCCTTGTTCAAACATTTAGTGTACGACATCGATTTCTATCATATCCCTCTTTCATTTTCATTTGTTGCTCTTCAATCCTTTCTCATGCTTTTTCTTGGATTTCGTGCAAGTTTTTCCATGTATCTGCATCTTCATCTGCTAACTTCCTAAGGATACCATTATTAAATCTGGATGAATATCCATGAAACATTTCAAATGGTGCCTTATTTGTTGTTTTATTTACCATGTTACTCAGATTTTGTTCTGTCTCTCTTTTTTTTTTTTCCCCACCCCCTTTGAATCTCAGTTTCTGTGGTCTGGATCTAACAGGCTTGTCATTATCATTCCTAAAATTGTACTGTTGACATGCTCTGCTATACCCATTGGCTTGGAAATGTCTGGTAGAATTCAAAGTGTGATGAATTCCTTTGTCTATACAATATTGTTTAAAATGATAAGGAGTAAAACAAAATCTTCTATCACTTATTATTCTTTCTAGTAGACCAGAATCATTAACTAAATCCTTCAAAGACTTCAAAACATTTTTTGCACTTGTATTTTTAACTGCATTAATTTTTGCAAACCTTGTACTATTACCAGTCATCACTAACAGTTCTTGATTACCTCTTGAACTCTTTACAAAAGGACCCAAATGATCTGTATGAATAATATCAAAAGGCCGTTTACCTTTTATAGGATGTAACAATCCTTGCTACTTGTCTCCTGTCACTTTATTCATGAGGCATTCAATACATGCTGATGTGTATTTTACATATCGTTTCATGCCTGGAAACCAATACAATTCTTTAATTTTGCTAAGTGTTCTGTCCACAGAAAAGTGACCAAATGAATCGTGGAATTTCACTACTCCACTTTTCTTCATGCTTTTAGGGATCACACAGAGAAGTCTCTCTTTTCCATCCATCATGGTTTTTCAAAACAGCTTGTGTCTTTTTATACATGTAATTTCTGATTATTTGCTTTTCCTCTGTAGTTCGTTCATCTTGTTTCTTCTTGAAAATGTCAATAATTTTTTTCAGTTCTTGGTCAGCATGTTGTATTGCAAGTATTTGCTTTTCTTCGGTTAAGGCCTCATAAACTTCAAAATTTTCAGTTATACTCATCATCAGCTTCTAATACTGGACCCCTACTCAAAGTATCAGCATGAGTCAGGTGTTTACCTGGCCTATGTTTTCTCTTGAAATCGTATTCTTGAATTAAACTACACAAACAAGCTATTTGAAGATTCGTACTTTTCTTCGTATTCATATACATCAGAACTTGGCAGTCAGTAATAATTGTAAATCTTCTGTCATGATTGCAGTTAACTCCAGTTTGCTAGAATGATACTTTTGCTCTTCTTCTGTTGTTTTCTTACTAACACAGTAAACAAGATGCTATTTTACATCTTCATCACATTGCATTAGCATCCCACTCAAACCTTCACCACTTGCAATACAATGTACTTCAGTATCTGCATGCAGTTGATAGTGAGTTAATATGAGCTTTTCAGTCAGTTGTTTCTTTAATAGTTTAAAGGACTTCTTTTGTTCCTGCTTCCATTTCAAGTCTTAATTCTTCTGTGTCCATCTGGTCAATCTCTTTTTATTGCATACTTCATAAGGCACAAATATTATGAAAAATCTAGTTAGACGCAGGATTCTTCGTACTTTAAAGCTTCTTTGGTCCTTCAAATCTTCTTTCATTTTTGGAATTCTGTTATGGCTTTTATTTTCCAAGAGCCTGGTTTGATACCTTCTTGTTTTATAATAAAGCACAATATACTACTTTTCTCCCAAATTTGCATTTAGGTAATTTCAAGATCATCTCTTCCCAAGATTTTGCTAGCAAATCATTAAAATATGCAATGCCTCAATATTCAGTAGGGGGCCTAGGACATGTGACATAGGCACTTAAACTCGGCATGCGCATTTGCTAATCTGAAGATCATCCTTTCGAACTGTCCTGTTTCATCTGGGGTAATGAATGCTGTCTTTAATTTAGCTTCTTCACTTAGTGGTATTTGGAAATAACCATGGTCTAAATCCATAGTAATATAAATTTTACATCCTTCTAAACATTCTAAAAGATCATCTATTCAAGGAAAAAGGAATTTATCTTTTATTGTCCAATTCTTAAGTCTCTGTGATCAACCACCAGATGATGTTCTCCTGTTTTCTTTTTTGCTAATATTACTGGACTAGCATAATGGAATTTAGTTTTGGAAACTATCCCATTAGTTTTCCATTCCTTAACAATTTCTAGTATCACATTACGATCAGCTGCATTCATTTCATAGGGACAGGAAGATAATCCTGTCAATTTCTTTAATATCCATTTTTATCTCAGCTGTGCAATCTTTTTCATTTAAACTAAGAGCAAAGCTATCCATAAACTCATTTAATAACCTGAAAATATCAGTTCTTTTGCTGTCTGTAGTTGTCTCATCAAATTTTCATCATCTGTCTTTATTGGTTGAATATTTTGAGAAATAGAATATATGTAGATTTGTTCTTCATTTTTGTGTATCTTTAATCCAGATTCGTCAGGACTTCGGCGATTCCGGATTAGGGGTTTGTCCGGATTATAGATCATCAATTTAAATCTGGTAAGATTGCATGCAGAAATTATAAAATTAAAAATATGAAACCGTAATTTACGAAATAAAGAGCAATTATGATCTAAAGGGTATCAAAATTAAACACAAAAACAAAGCTTAATATTTATTTGTTTACTTTATTAAACATTTCTTTCAATGTAAGTTGTTTAAGTTGCTTTGTTTTATGTGCTAATACTTTCTCTTTAATTCTATAAACATAATTTCTTGTTCAGTTATAAAGTTCCACTGTTCATGTCCTGTAATTGCTGTGCCGAGAATACCGACTAACTTGTCAATCGAAATTTTTCACTAACTTCTCTGTCACTTTCTTCATGCCTGTATCCATTTTTTGCAGTAATTCCACTTTTTGTTTGATGGACATCGAAACATGCTTTCACTTTGTAGATCCTTTGGCAGCTCCAGAATCGGAAACTCTTTTTGACATAATCGAAAGTTCAAGCTTACTTTTTATAAAATTGCTCTAACAGTCTGCAAAAAATAATAAGCTGGCTCCAATTAGAAGATTAAGGAACAATGCAATGTGCAACATTAACTTAAATAGAAAATTTTAGCCTAGCTTATACTGTCCGTTATACATTAAAGTTGCATGTGTAAACGTATTATGCGCATGCATATGCATCGAGCATCTCTGGTGTCAGAATGTTTAGAAGCAGGAGATATTATTTGAATGGGTTGGCTAGCTTATTTACAAGACTTGAATCTGATTGAGCATGTGTAGGATGTCTTAAGTCGGCAAGCTGCAGGCACCAAATGACTCCGCAGACCTATCAGGAACTGAAAAGTATCCTTCCAGAAGAGTGACATCAATTTCACAAGATCTTGATCAACAAATTGGTAAACTGTATGAAGTCAAGTTGAAAGGTTTGTCAGATGTACCATATATCATATAGAACAATTTGTTACAAAACAGGGAAGATAGTTTTTCGGTCATTTTTAAATTTCTGTAGATGTACTTATTCAAAATTATTTATAACTTGAACTCAATATTTTGAAATTAATTAACTGTTAAACACAGTGTTGCACGTGGTTGCGGCTGTGTGCAACAACAAACTATGCGTATTGGAATTTGCCAGTGCTTTTAAGGATGAATTCATAACATGCCATAAGAGCCAATTTTTGATAACAAAACATTTAATCACATCACAATATTAAAACTTAATTACTACAGTCGATAAACAATCACGTTGGAGGAAAACGAGCGACCAACTGCACCGACGACGAGACGTGACTGTGTGTCGCCGAAAACCACCTTCGGTTACAGGTAGTGATAACGGCGCACGGTTGGCGAGTACAACACATGTTTACAGAGTCGCCACAGTACTCCCCCTCCAGTGGCAACGAATTAAAGGTACCGAGGGTTAAATCGGACTCTACGTACGGA